CGTAAAAGCTGCTCAAAAAGGCACTGGCATAGGATGGACGAAGATTTACATGCTTTAATTACTCCCGAGCAAGTAGGAGAATTTGAAAAGAGCCAAGCTGCAAGAAATGCTATTTGTCTCTTGGGCCAGTTATCAGGAGCTCATTGCATGGAGATATCGCAAGCCAATTACACTCTAATCAGAGATTTTTTGTTGGTGGAGGTTTCAATCGACAATGCAAGGAGGGCGGGAGCCCTCGCTAAAATGACAATGGAAGAGCTGAATAGTGCTATAAAGCATGATGATGAATACATTGTTCATGTATGTGATCAGAAAACTTTCGCTATGCACGGACCAGCATGAATAGTACTAAGCTCAAAGCTGCACAGTTGGGTAAACATTTTCGTCAGGGAGGCACGATCCAAGGTTGTTGGCTTTGCTGCTAACCCTAAAGGAACCGTCTTCTTAACGTGGTGTGGCGAACGGATGGAATCGAGTCAGATAAACAAAGCGATCAAGTCAGTGTGGAAGAAGGCCAAGGTGGATGGTAATCCTAGTTCAACTATTCTCCATAAGTCAGCGGTCTCACAAGTGCACACGGTCACTTCGAGTGGTGAAGCCAGGGAAAATCTCGCAGATCTTATGGCTCATAATGTTCAAACAGCAACGAAGTATTTCCGTCTGCAGGAAAAGAGCAAATCTTTTGTTGAAGCATCAAAACAGCTGCACACTGTTATGCGAGGACTAGACCAAACAGCCAGACCAGACAGTCCTCCTCTTTACTCCAACCCACCTGCTTCAGAGGCTATAGCTCCTAACACGTCAAGAACTTCATGGGATGAGGACATGGCAGATGCGATCAAGACTCTTTTCAAAGATGAAATTAAAGATGAAGCTATTACTCTGCAAACGGTGAAAACCAAAATTTCTGATCATCCGCTGCTGAAGGAAGAAGTCCACAAAAGAGTCTTGGACAAGGTATGTGCCTTTTGGCATTTCAGTAAGTCCCCTTCTCCAGAACCTCCATGCCTTCCAACTGAGGTGGAAACACTACACCAATGTACGGGGCGGCGTAAAATTTATGGGCGTACACACGTAATATATAGATTTAGCCAGGGCTAAAAGTGAAGCTCCCGTTAATAAATTCATAATTTAAATCAAACAATAAACTTGTAATCCACAGATCAGGGCACATTCATTTGACGTTTGAGGCAAAGGCTAAGTGATTTTAGAGAAAAATAATTTGACAGTCCAAGAGTGAAACAGCTTTTACATCGAGTTATTAAATAGTCTTACTTGTACACCCAAAAATAGCAATCATGTTCGATCACAGTAGATTAGGCCTGGAAAACAAATAGACCTACCTATTCGTGTATTGTATTTGCATTAGCTGTTGCATCATAATGTGGCATTCACCACTCTCTCCACCATTGCTCCGTTTGAGAGACTATGGATAATTGGACAACCCCGAAATATAATTTTAAGAAACACACGCGCCATGATAGTTCTTGGTGGCAGCCAATTTACACGTTGCATTCCTCTGTCTAAAAAAGAGGCCAAATTAAAAAACAGGCCGGCTTTTTTGTGTTTGACAAGTTTAGTTTACTAGTAAATCTTGGCGACGAATCTGGTGGTGTGTAAACCAGCCTTTTAAACATACTTTTTCTCATCGCGTCTCACGTAAACAGTACTATGAGGCCCTTGTTTTTATCATACAGACCTCGGACAGAATTTGTTCTTTTTTGCCCTATTTAAACCTATAGTTCTGCAGTTTTTCACAATTTTGCAAAAAAATTGGCACTCATTCAATATCCACGACAATCAAAGCACGCCCTTCCTTTGCACAAGAAATTATAGCATTGAAGTATAAAACGTTTTCATGAAGAGAATTCTATAATGCTAGGACTTTCAGTTAGAAAAATCTGGTCCTATGTGATATGCAGGGTAATATGGGCTTTTCATGAAAATGATAAACAAATTCCCAAAATCACTTTTCCGCCAGCTGGACGGGGCTCACTTTTGACAGGCACCAAATTTGCAGTGTGATTGAGAGTTACCATTTACGCTTCAACATGATAGATAAATTGTTATGTTTAGGTTTTATTTCCCTTTATTTATTAAACTGTGTATGGTTTTGGTATGTGTAATCTCTAAAAGCAAGGGATATTTACGCGCGGCGTTTTGAGTATTCCTGCATGAGATGTTTATCTTCGACTGGATACAACCAGTGCAGCGATAAAAATTGCCAGAGGGACTACTCACAATCAATAAAATAAATATAATTCGGTGAAACATGTACAGAGACAATAATTTTCATTCACGAAGAGAAGTATTGAGAGTAAAGTGTCTTTGAAAATCATGAGTCAGGTAAGCATAAGTTTATTTATGTTTTAAGCCGGCTCCCCAGTGTTTGCTCTTTTTCAAGATGAACTCAAGGCAAGAAAATCGGTCAGAGCTTTCTGTTTACAGCCAAAATCATAAGTAAATAATCTTCTGAACATTTTCTTTGAATTTGCGGTCAAAAAATTTCTAAAGGCTTTTTAAACCTGATACTATTGTAGGTTAGATCATCGCTCGTGTATAAACTTAAGCAGCATAAACCATACGATCGACTTCAGGAAACCAAAAAAAAAAAAAAACATCAAACACAACAATTTCTCAGGCTTACCAGTCGAGATGCTGCTTCTGAAGGTCATCAAGTGTTCCAGAATTTTCAACCCTCTTACGCCTCAAGCAAGGGCAAGTGAGTAAGCTCATTTTTGAAAACGATGCCATCCGAAATCGGATTTCCAATGACTTTGACAAGCGGTGCATTTGTCAACAAAAAGCGCACCTGTATTTCGTTTTGTACACCAAGTAGAAAAAGCCAGTTTAAAACATCACAAGATGACACAAAACTCTGTAAGCTCCAGCTATCAGTAAGCAAGTTTCAAGACGCTGCATAAATCTTCTGCATGAACTCACCTGTCAAATTTTGACCAATCAAATCATAAAAATTGGACGTAGAGCGTGATCAACGCGTGAAAGTGAGAAAAGTCAAAAGTGATTGCCTTCCCCGCATGTAAATGTAAAAGCCGGTTGAATTTTCGCGTCCGAGGTCAGTTTGAAATCAACATTTTAAACGTGCGGCTCATGAACTCGACTTATTTCATATGCTTTTTAAAAAAATTGAACTTGAGCCTGCGATAATTGAAAAGTAGCAACCTGTCAGCGGATACGTTAAAAAAACACTCAAACTCAGTGGGTCAATACCTGAGCCCGCAATAAGGACAGGCGATACTGGTCAGCAGAAACACTATTTTGACAGCTGTCAATTAATCAAAACATGGAGGTACAATATCAGGTTGCAGGCTCCCAAACTAGCTAGAAAGTGTGAGATTAAACATTGGTATACCTGTGGTGCGGACGGACGGAAGGTCGGGTGGTCGCTGTATGGTCACGTGATTGCTGAATTTTCTAAGATGGATCGATTTTCTAAGCTATGGGACTTCGAATTGAGCCCGTGATCAAAAAAAATATCAGCGCAAAACTTTAAACACTACGTGACCTCAATGGATAGACAAATGAGCTCACGATACACTCAGGTGATGATGGTCAGCGTATACTCTAGTTTGACAGCTGTCAATTAACTTTACAGAATTGTAAGAATTGTAAGTGTAATAACATTATACTTAGATTTTAGATGGGGAAGCGGGGAGGGGAAGAAGAGAAAGGAAGGCCTGACACAAAACCATCATGCTGCGTGGGGGTGGAAGGCTGCAGTAAAATCTATTTTATATTTTCTATCGTAAGATCGCATCTGTAGATGATTGTGTCGAGTTTCAAGATGACCTCTTGTCTGCCGCCTCCTGGTGTGACTTGTGGAAGGTTACGCTGAAGTCGGAAAAGTGTAAGGCTCTACATGTTACCAAGTCCAATTGTCCTTTAGTTTATCAGTATGTGATAAATGAGAATAATCTGTCGGCTGTTGATAAACATAAGCACTTGGGCATTTGGATTGAATCTTCTTTAAGGTGGGACGCTCATATCAATTACATTGTTGGTAAGGCAAATCGAGTATTGGGTCTAATAAGGAGAACGTTTGGGTCTTAAGACCCTGTGCCAGTCAAAACAGCTTTTATCGCTTTAGTTCGTCCAATTCTGGAATATGCCTGCCCAGTGTGGAATCCATATTTGGTTAAACACATACACAGTATTGAATCCATTCAGCGTTGTGCTACTCGATTGATATGTGGATCTCATAATTCTTACACTGAAAGGCTCACTGAACTAAACTGGTCAACATTGGAGCTAAGAAGAAAATACCTTTGCCTGGTTCAACTTTACGAGATAATTCATGGCTATTCTGATATTGATTATACCACATATGTGGATCTGACTGGCCCGACAGGAACTAGAAGAAACCATGACTTTAAAATCAGGCCTAGAGCAGCAAGGACAAACTATTTTAAATTTTCATTTTTTAATCGTTATGTTAATGACTGGAACTCCTTACCAAACTCTGTTATGTCTGCTTCCAGTTTGAATTCTTTTAAAACTTTATTACTTGATTATCTTTGTAAATAGTCATATGTTTCCCATTTCCTACTGAATTTGGATGTTCTTTTTTATTTAATATCTAGGTAGTTTATAGTATAGTTATGTATTAGTTTTCTATTCTTAATTGTTTTACCTTTTCGTTTTGGAGGGCAGTTTTTATATGGGAATCCAGTTTCCCCCTATTGCTTTCCTTTACCTATTGTACTTTTATATATGTATATATATTTTTATTTTGTACATTGGTAAAAAGAATTATTAAACTTAAACTTAAACTTATTAACATTTCTGGAAGAAAGTTTTCTGATTTCACTTTTGATTTGAATCGGTTTCTTAAGCCTTTGTAGTTGATTAACGTGCATACAATGTATACTTTTGTTTCAGTTGGCTGTTATTACTACTACACACGTAACTACAGCCACTACTAGTTAGAAGAATTAAGTGGAAGATCCTGTAGTAATTATTTTCCCAGTGTCTTCAACCAAGTAGTGCCCCGACCCGTGGTGCAAAACAGTCAAAATTCTATGCATCACAAGGACATAAGCTGAAGGCCAACCAGCCACAGAGATCGTCTTAGTATAAGCAACACAAGGAGAACAGATCACAAAGGAGCGACTAACTGTCTTTGAAAACATGTGCTCCAAGGAAATGATTTCCTAAGATAAGGTACAATTTGTTTATTTTTTGTGTGTGGTTGCATATCTGATCGCGTGTGGACCACAGTCGCATTGTCTGCATGAAAACTAGGGTTTGAACTCAGACGGAACATCAACAATTTGAATAAACACAACACAATGCCACCAAAAAATGATTTACCCTCTTTGGGAAGACTGATAAGCGACTCACACACAATGAGTTTTTCATAGAATTTGAAACGCTTTATGAAACCCGAACTGAACTTATTGGCGGCTGTATTTAATGAGATTGAGTCAAAGTATAGGGCTGTCAAAAAACAGCTAGAAATCACTGCTGATACATCAATTGAAGAGGGTGTCAAGTCTGAAGACAAAACAATAACTGAAAACCTAAAATCAGGAGAAGAAATTAAATCACAATATTTGGAGACATCACAAAAATATGCAGTTATCAAAAGGAATTTAGTTCCCCTCATTATCAACCTAAACACCTATGAAAACACTGTGATTCTTGGTGCAGTTGCTGAAGCAGTGAAACAATGGGAGAAAACATATGTAATGAGTTAATCATAATCCGTGCCCAAAGGGTCAAGCCGCTGTGTGATTACTCAAATATTTATTCTTATAAATTTTTGCACTGCATATAAGTTTTAAAATTCCTCTATTTAATCTTTTTTCCCAACAAGATTTTTACCAGCAAATTCAGCCACCATAAGAGAACAAACGAAGTTTGTAGGTACATTACTTCCCTAGCCTAGCCTGTTACGCCGCAAAATGTAACAATTGACGCAAAATGTAACATTAAAAAAGGAAACAACTTTTGACGTGAAATGTAACATTAACCCGAAATGTAACAACTTTTGACGCAAAATATAACAACTTTTTAACGCGAAGTGTAAC